AGCCACTTGCTATGGGACGTCCTACTAGGCCCCAATTAAGTCTGGAAGTGTGTAGCCTAAACCATGGGTGAAGCTTGCTCATTCAGCTGGCCTGGGCTTGCCTTGTATTTCCTCCCCCATCCCTACTGCTTGCCAAGATGTTTGTATGAAAAGAGAAGCTTCCTTCTTTGCAAAATCTCTTCCCCTTTCCCACTGTGAGGCCTGTAGATTAGAAGCCAGATGCTGGGGCCCTGGACGTTTTCTCTGTGGCTCTTGGCGCTGGTTGTTGCCTCAGTCCATGCCTCCGATTGTGTGTGTGTGTATAAAATAATCTAAGTGCTCCCCTGTCCCAACCCTGGCTCTGTCACCAACTCCTTTGGCCTTTGGGATGTCCCTTGGGACCTGTGGGGTAGAGCACAAGAATCTTTCAGGTCCAAGTGCATGGGTGTGAACCAGAAGAGTGCAAGGGATCTGTAAGGATCAGGGATGGTGAGCCCAGGCTGACAGCTGCTCTCTAAAGACCTTTCCCCACAGCAGCCCTATAGGACTGACCCAGCCAGCATTACCTACAGTGTTCCCCTGCTGTGGCCTGAAACCCTCTTGAAGTTTGTGTGGGCGAGGTTGTAGAAGCAGAGGATAGCAGATCAGAGATAAACTAACAGCTATGCTCTTACAGCGAGAGCCAGGGCATCCTCAAAAGCCAATACCCCTTCACTGACCAAGGGATTTGATTTTTTTGTAGCAAAGTCCTTTATTGAGAAACCTGTCTGCACGTGCCAGCCCCTGGAGACGGCTCATGTCCTACCACATGCCCCCTATGAGTGCTTTACATGCAGGGCCTTGGCCCCTGACACGGCCCTACCTCTGGTCCTTGTCTCTGCTTCCCAACGTGGGATCACACATGGGCTCTTAGCTTCACCCTTTGGCCATAAAACATGACGGTTAGATCAGAACTGCATGAATTATTCATGAGTTTTAGATCCGCAGCAATTTCCCCTGGACTCCAAGGGCATGATGCCCCCACTTGCTGGCCTGAATGACAGGTCCAAAAAATCCCTTCCATTCTGGTCCCTCCTGCTTCTTTTCCTCAGATTGCAGATTTTTTCCCCCTCCCTTCCTTGATGTGCTCCCCCAAGCTCCCAGCGCTATTAACATTTCTAATTAAAGCTGCTTATTGATGTACTGCTGTTTGTATAAGTGTAGCTGATCAAGGCAAAGAAGCCATTGAGCCTAAGTGAATCACACCTCTGTGTATTCCCAGGCAGCAGAATGCGTATTGAACACATGTGCAACTCCTCAGCGCTGAGCCTTGGGGAGCTGGAAGAAAAGAATCTAGCTGGGAGAAGGAGAATAACTGTGCACTGCCAATCAGCGATGCCTGGGCCTTATTTTTATGCAGGCAACTTCCAAAGATACTGGTATTTTCATCCTTACAGTTTATTATCCAAGCATGGTGTGTATGCAGATTCTGCTAGAACAAAGCTTCCCCCTCTCAGGTGTTCCGGTGGCCTGGTTCTTTGCTGCCTTGACTTTGGCTGTGTAGCTATACCAAAAGTATAACTGAAGTAGTGCCACTGAAAAGCAGATCCCATTGCCCCAACATGAGTCTTTTGGGCAGCCTGTTTTTCCTCTTGCTTTTTAAGCCTGGTCTAATTCTCACCATCTGTCCAGTGAAGCCTGTGGATCATTTCCTCCAAACAGTCTCCTCCCGGGGATGGTCTGTTTGGCTTCATCGTTGTTATATGAAGCTGCATTTATAAACCTCAAAGTATTCTGCTGGTGGTAGCCATTTTATGTACATTTTCCTGAAGGCTGTTACAAGGCAGATGCAGGGTGTTGTTAGATGTTACCTTTTCCACATGTTAGGTGCCCTTGAGATGGAAGTGTCTGCAAGTAAAAACAGGGACAGATAAGCTAAGTGCCCTCTGAGTGTCTCAAAATGACACCTCTTTAGGTAAGGACAGGGTTGGGCAAAATGCAGACCGGATGCAGCCTGCCAGGCCATTCTTCCAGCCCGCAGGGCCCCTAAAAAATGTAGAAAATGAATATTTAGCTGCCCCTGGCTGCCTGTCATGCAGCCCTCGATGGCTTGCCAAAACTCAGTAAGCGGCCCTCTGCCCAAAATAATTGCCCGCCCCTGGGTAAGGGTGAGTTCCAGCTGTTGTTAGGCAGCTCCTGCTGCAATAACATCAGCTTGTTCGACAGAGCCAACACAAACAATTTTCCAGCCACAGGAGCCTGCTGAAGGCAGAAGTGGCGAGGGTCACGATCCTTTTTTTTCTGTGGAGCCTGCCCGCCTCTCCCGCAACCGGGGGACGAACTGACTAATGGCTGCAATGTTGCAAACTAAATTACATCAGCATGTAGTTTAGCTTGCAACGATGCAAATGTATTTAAAACCCACAAAAGTCGTGTGATATGTGATGCCATTAAGCCACACAAAGGGAAATTTTGTCATGTATACATTGCAACATCATCACGTGCACAAGTGCCCTTTGAGAGGGACTTGAATACCACCTAACATTCCTTAGAGTTAGCATATGCAAATTGTAACGTATTACAACACCTGCACACTGCTGTCTCATGGAGACCTGCTTTTATTTGTCTTGAAGCTGGCCTCAGCAAGCTCGTCTGGCTGCTCTTTCTTGCCCTCTGTGGGCACAGAGGTTGAAACAGTTGAGAAAGTGGGAAATTTGGGCGTCATCACACCCAACTTTCTACAACTCTGTGGATTCTTGCTATGATTTGTATCTGGATTGGGGGCTGGAGGGGAAAGCTTAGAAACCTAGGAAATATGGGATATGAGAGAAACTTGGGAGAGCTGGGATTATTTGATTTGGAGAACAGAACACAGAGAGATTTGATGTCTTTAAATATAAAATGGTTGCTATGAAGAAGAGGGTCAGCTGAGAATTCTGTGTTCTCAACAAAGAATAGTAGGCTTACACGACAATAAGGGAGATTTTGGGTAGATATTAGGAGGAACTTTCTACTATGAAGGTGGTTACAACCTAGAACAGGTTATCTAGAGAGATTGTGGGATCTCCATCCTTGGAAGGCAGTAACTACAGGTTGGACAAACACTTCTCTGGGATGGTGTAGGCAGGGATGCTCCTACCTTGAACAAGGGGTTGGACTCGATGTCCTGAGGTCCCTTCCAGCCTTTCCAATATGCCTTGGAAAAGCCGTGACTGGCTTTCCCCAAACTCAGATATTTCCCTGTATTCTTATTTCAGAGCATAAAGAGCAAGTGAATGGCTTTTAAGCTGCACACACATTTTAACCTGTTCTGCAGACAGTAGGCTTGCTCATCAGTGACTTATTCACAGGGTACCTTCAGGAAGTGAAGAGAAAGCCCAGCACCTGTTCTGTGGGAAATGTATGTATGCTGCCTGCCAGCCAACTGCTTGTGAATCTCATTCTGATTTGCCTTGGACAAGAGTGTTCTTCCCTTGCCGGTCATATGTGCCAGTGTGATTAATATGGAAGGCACATGCATTGCCCTTGTAAGGAGTGAAATTCTCTTAGTGTCCATCAGTATTGGCCTGTGTAAGGAGTTCAGAGCCAAGTCTTGGCTCTGTTCGACTGGAATGAGTTTGGAGCAGCTCCATTGGAAGTTGCTCTGACATGTGCCTTGGAAGGGAACCAGGAGAACTGGAGGCTTACACTGCCAGAGGTCCAAAGGTGAGCTGGACCTCAGCTGAGATAAGTCTGACCTGAGGGCATTGGGTCTCTGTCCCTAGGAGGAGCAAACACTCTTCCCATCCTCCACAAAGAGCAATACACACGTTTAACTTCCCGTTCTTTCAAAGATTTCCTGTGAGATCTTAGGCAAGTTGTGCAGGCCCAGATCCTTAGCTAACACCCATGGAAATCAGCAGGAGGGGATCTGGCTCTTGAGTTGCTTTGACACTGTTAGCTTGTCATGGCTGGCAGTAATGTATGCAAACACCTGGTGCTGCTCCACACAGCCAACCTGCTAACCCAGGAGCAGTGTTGCCATGTTCATGCAGTGCTGCTGGTGGGTTCATTAATACTGCTGAGTGGCAAGGCCAATTAGCCCACTCACCTGCTAATTAGCCCACTCATTGTTCTGGGGGGATGTGGCTACACTGTAGATAGAGCTTGCAGAGCAGTGCAGTATGCTTGAGGGCACCATTGCTATGCAGATGTGACCTTAGTCTCTGTGTAACACTCAGCAAATAATGTCACAAGAATAGATCTGGTGGAGATGCTGGGATGCTCAGACACTGCTGCAATGGGAGACATCTACATAAGCAAGATATGGCCCTGGGATATGCAGTCTGGTTTCAGGTCTGCTGACTCCCATCTCCTTGCTTTATCCATTCCCCAGGAGCCCATCCAATAAACAACAGTGCTGTGACTCTTCCATTGACTGAGTTCAGAGATGGGCTTGGCCCATCATACGCCATGCATCTCTCCTTCCTTTTAAAGCAGCTGAACAGGTTATGTTCTTTCTCTGAGCTGAAAGAAGAGGAACCTAATCATGGCGCTGCAAACCCTGTAGACTACATACCACCACAGCCTTCCCAACCCTTGTCCAGGCACTCTGCGCGCAGGTTCTTTAATGTGACGCATTCTGTGTATACAACAAAGCAGGCACCACAATCTTAATGGAGCAGTTTTTCTTCTGCGTATAGTCGGATTTATTAATTCTTTATAACAATGAAATCTCTATTAATAATGGCTCTGGGATCTAGCTGTGAAGCTCAGTAATGAGATTCCCTGTACCTGCTGTTCCTGGGCTGAAATGATTATGTTTGGAGAACTAAATTCTGTGTGGATTAATTAAAATGAAAAACAAAACAAAAAAGGGAGAAGTTCTTTTGAATTATTTACCCGTTTCTAGGAGACAACAATAATTGCAGACGTCTTGTTGCAGGTGTTGGAAGGGAAAAATCCCTCTTGCTAAGAGTGAGAGACACAGAGGGAAGAGAAATTGGGTTATTTACTTACATAGGAGAAAATCTTCATTTGTTCCCCACAGAACTAAATGCTCTTTGAATTGTTCCTCCATTTGCTCATTCTGTTTTTCTCCTCTGGGTGGCACTCTCTTCATGCCCAATGGGACTTATTCTGGGCAGCTGCTGCTGCATTCACTATAGTGCCCTGCACATAGCACGGGATGAAGTAGGTAAGATAGCAAGGGAAGGGGGAGAGAACAGGGACTGAACAGTGGCAGTGCGTTAGTCTTGCTGTCTCTTCAGACAGCAAGGCTGGCTGTGCCTGACAATTTTCTTTGTCAGGGCCAGACCCAGATTTTTCAAAGTCCATATGAATTAAGATATTCAGGGCTGCAGGGTAGCTTTGATCTACCCTCTGGGGTGGGCAGGGACAGGGTGCATTAACAGTGATGTGGCTTAGACTAGTTCTGCATATTTGTATCTGGGGTGGACAGATGACCCACTCTCCCGCAGTATTATTTGCTCACAGTAGGTGCTATTTATTACACTACCTTTCCAGTAGGTGGTAAAGGAGCTGGTAATAACCTGTTTGCACTGGGCAGAGAGCTAGCACAGGATAAAAATTGATGAGTGCTGCAGTCATGGGACCATCATCCTGATGCAACTACTTACACCTGCTTTAAGTGACTCCTGCCTGACTCAAGAGTGAAGTAACTTATATCAGAGTAGGTATATGGTTGCCCCAATGTCAAGGCAGGGTCAGGAAGGAATTTTCCCCCTAGGTCAGACTAGCATGGACTGTTGGTTTTTTGCCTTTGTAGCATGAGGAATGGTTCTTTTCCCAGGATCTTCTGAATTGCTGCAATGGCAGGGCATTGGCCGTGCCCTCATTTCCCTGGTTTTTATGCGTGACATGTTATTTGGTGCTTTGGGGGGTAGTGTTCCTTGCAGCTGAGTGAGGTTTTGCCTTGGTAATATTGGGGGTTCCTCTGGTTAACCATTGCTTGAAAATGCAGGGTCTGCATCCCATTGCTCCTTCCAGTCCTGTGTGTCAGCGTCTCATGTATCGACACCGTCTGTACATGGGAGGAAGGGGTTGCCATTGCTCCTCCCCTGTCACAGCACAAACCAGCAGGCTCCTGAACCTGTGTCTTAGGGACTTTCAGTCTCTCCTGCCCTTGAGTCCTCCTTGTCCTTCTGGACCCATAAGTCCCCACCCCTCCACGAGTCCTTCTGGACCCATGCTCATGTCATTTCATGTCACCTTCTGTCCCACACAAGCTTCAGTGCATGGCACTTCCCTTCTTGTCAAGGAGAAACATTGGGAAGGCTGAGCTCTGCTCCTGCCCGAGTGTCTGCGTGGGGGAAGCACCCTCCCAAGTGGCCTGAAGTTGCTTTCTTAATGTTCTTTTTTCTCTTGTTTCTCTCACACTAATTGGTGTCCTCAAATGATGGGTGGTAGCAGGTTTCAGGGCACCTCACTGTTGTACTCTGTAGTGTGACACAGCAGTCTCCCTCCTCAGCAGAGATACTGGGCCAAGTTCCTGGTTTCTCATGGTCCCTTAGGCAAAAATCAGACGTGGTATTTTTTTGCAGGAGTATTTGATGTGCTGCTATGGTCAAATGCTAGTCTGAAAGGGTTTTCTGCCTCTGCACTGCTCCCATGAACCAGTAACCGGATGCAGCAACACTTCCTGAATAAAGCAACCAACTTCCAGGGAGTAAAATCTAGGACACAGCCCTGGATGTTTCACAGAGGGTGATAGCAGCACTGAGAGCAGCCAGTCAGTTTTAGGGTCCATGCAAGTACTTGGTTTACAAATGTTTGACTGACCTGGTGCCCATGTTCAGATCTGGGATGAAAGTCTAATTTCAGAGCATCCTCACTGAGACTTGCCTGGAAAAACCAGGATGATGACTGAAAGGTATTGCATAAACATCAGTGTTAGATAGTCTTTCTTGGTGCCTTTGCAAAACAGCATTGGATGACTGAGGTAGCAGAGTTTTATGCGCTTCCTACCAGGCATTTAATGAATTGCTCCTTTTATTCTATAGGCTTAAGTTTATTCCCGCTGAGCTGAGATGGCTGGTAGCTGTGCCACTGACTTCAAAGCGGGCAGGACTTGTTTTAAATGGAGTATTGAGTTCCTTTCTCTCTGTTTCAGAGGGGTTACTAAACCCTTCTATGGCTTCTAAGATAGTTTTAGTGACCCTACCCCCACCAAAAAATAGAAAGAAAGAGAGCAAGAAATCCTATTTAATAATCTTCAGGATGATCAATATTCATTTGTCTTCGTATTCAAATTGTGAATCCCACCGAGAAGGAACAAGTGGAGCCGCCTGGCTGGAGATGAGAAGTTAATCTTTAAAGCCAATAAAGGTTTAGGACAGTGTAATTGCTTTAAGATTCGATGCATTAGACTATTCAAACTTTCAATTTTTAACCCAACAACCTAGATCCTGGCTAGGATGCGGAGAGGAATCAAAACAAGAAGCAATGACACTAGCAGGACCTTGGAAGAAGAGATGGGGAATAAGTCTGAACTATGGGAAGGCGGTCTCTGGATCTTGATCAGAGTTTTGTGATTGCCTCAGCTCTCTTTACCCTTTACCCTAGCAATGAAGACTTTGCAGTAGATCAGAGGAGGCAGACAGGTAGGGCAAGGAGATGCTTCATATTTATTGGTATTGCAGTAGTACCCAGCATACTCGTTGTGCTAGGTGCTGTACAAACAGAGCGAGAGCTTACAGAACGGGAGGAGAAACACAGGCACAGAGAGGTGAGGGAAAGTGCAGTAAGCTTACAGGCAAGGACAGGTAAATTGATATTAGCTAGGTTGGAGGATTAAAGAGGGAGATAGCTATTGGACAGGTCAAATAGGCAGTGGACAGGTAGAGTAGAAAGAAAGGCGAGTGGTTATTAGGCAGGTGAACTAAACAGAGAGCTACTGAAACAGCAATATTGCTCTGTTAAAAGCAGAGGTAGATTGGCATCAGGAGGCAGGTACATTAGGTCAGTGGATGGTAGGTAGGTATGGAACAGGGCTGAAAACAGGTTTTGGTAGAAGTGGGCCCAAATCTTGGGACATCTTTTTCTGTACCAGGGACCTCCCTCTGGGGGCCCTGTGCTCTGGAGGTTGTGGTCTTTGGGGTGGAGGCATTGGCAGCCTGGGTAGTCGCACCTACTATCACTCTTGTACTTGTGCCCTGGTGTCTGGTAGGCAGGCGGATAAATTAATTTTCAGTGGCAAAACTGAGCCCAGACCTTGCTGCTCCAATGCCTCTGCATAGAATAGAGTCTGAGGGACACTTGTCCCCTTGCTGCCCAGCCACCCCTCCCAGAGCAAGAGAGCCTCTCTCCCTCACTTGTGGGGAAGAGAAGTGCCTGAGTGCTTCATTTCTTTTGTGCCATTTCATGTCTATGCCCCACCTGCAAAGGATCTCTCAGACTCAGCTTCCCAGCCCAGCAGGCTAGGATCTCTAGGATCACAGAAGCGGGAAGGATCCCTTTACCCCATCCTCACCACCTCCCAGAACCACTCCTGAGACACCTGCATTTGCAGGAACCCTGTGGCTGATTGCTCCCCTCCCCATTTTCTGGAGATCTCCCTGGGAGGAAGGGACAGTGCAAAACAAAACAGAGCCCAACCACAGAAGCCAGCTAATTACAGTCTATTATTCACTGAGGAGGCCGGCTGGGTTCCAATTACTGAGGCTGTGAAAAGATGGGATAGTGCCACAATTGATTTCTGCAATTAGAGGTCAGATAGAGTGTGCAGGCAGGAAACCATGTTGGAAAGACGTGCCACGGGAGCCTTTGGACCCAGAAGCGAGAGATGGGGGCATGGGAGGAAGAGTCGAGCAAAGAGGTCTCAGAGAGACCAGCTGCTCTGCCAGCCGCAGTATCAGCCATGTGAATCTCAATAGCTGAATAGCAGAGAGAAGAGGTAAATAGTGGCTAAGAGCAGGCAGTGTGGAGCTGTGAGCACCACATTTGGAGCCAGGTGGTCCTGAGTGCTAGCCTTGATTAGCTATGTTATCCCAAGCAAAGCTGTCATGACTGAGTTTTAAATACGAGGAGCTGATACTCAATGCCTGTGCAAATCAATCCTAAAGTTTCTGCCCTGATGGAACTAAGCTCCATTTTTTTCCAGGTGCAGATCGTGATGGATTAAGGCAGGTCACTTCCTACTGAAAAGGAAATATGTGTGTATGTTTATTTTCCTCAGAAAAGCTCGGTGTGAAAGGGCAGACTGGACACATCTACACATGCATTAATGTGCCGTAGTTCCAGTGCATTAAGTTTAGTACCTGTAATAACAGGCGGTAACTCAAGGCACAGTAACCAGTACTACCGGGCAGTAGTGCCAGTGCATGCCGTTTTAGTGATGCAAACGCGCAGTAGACTAATTTTGCCATGCGGCACTAATGCACAGTAGAATTAATCTACTACGCATTTAGCATTTCATGTGGATGCGCCCGCTGGCACTTCAAGAGACAGGGTCTGGGGGCAGCTGGACTGGCTCGGTAGCTGGATACCAGCTGGGAAGGTGCAAATCAGAGGCTGCCTGTAGAGAGCTGGGAGAGGAGCTGGCAGGGGGTGGATGGTTTCTTGGTAGGGGTTGGAGTAGAGAGAGGTCTCTGAGCCCCTGCCGCCAGCGTGGGCCTGTGGAACAGCCCTGCTCTGTGTTACTGGGGGTTAACAGAGCTCGCCTTGCTTTGGCCAGGGTGTCTGTGCTGTCTGGTAAGGCGCATTGTGCTCTCCATTTGCCCTAGTGCCACCAGCCAGCCTGGCGAGCAGCACAGGAGGCCATTGGAGGCTCTGCTCCTCT